GCCAAAACGCGTTTGATATAATATTCTCTTTTTCACTGGTTGGACAAGGAATCTCGACCACAATATATAATGTATACAGCGGAGAGGACAATACATACTAGACATGTTAAAAATGTTCATTCGGTTTATATTACAGTATACAAGAGTCTAATGGGCCACAACGCTCACCCTAGTAACTTTAACCCTGCTTAATTGTATGTAATGTACACTCATCGGAAATATAGGAGTTGCGCTTATTAAAACCTTTTCTCGGATTAATTTTTTTCTGTATTTACCCATATCGCTCGAAATTCCATTGGACTATAAAACAAACAGTTTGAAAATCTTATTGTTGGTGTTATCAATTGTATTAAGTCTTGGCATCCCAAACAGAATGATTACATGTTTCATGCACAGTTTTATCAAATTTTCAATTTATTGTGCAGAACATGTTATTAATTATTATCTTGATACAATCTTAACCATATATATGCTCTCTCTCTCTTTCTCCCTCTCTCAAATATATTATATTTTCATGAAAGGAAATATCATGTCCTGAGTATCACAGCTTCTTCAGTCAATTCTTATGTACTAAGATATGGTTTTTAGTTTTCAGTCTTCACTTGGAATAAGCTGGCGGAGGAGCGGTAGGGGTAGAGAAGCTATTGTAGCTGTATTGACCTCCAAAGCCCTCCTGGGGTTGTTGTTGGTAGTTCTGGTTTTCCATGGTACGAATCCTGCTCTCTAAATCAGCGATTCTGCTTTGAAAAAGCATCTCTCTCGGACTGTAAAGTCCAAATGCCTTTTTATAGACACAGAAAAATATAGATCCTAGGAAAACACATATGACCATGAGAAGGGCGATGAAAATAGCGATGAAGTTAAGGATGACCTCTTGGTCAGCGTTGGTGCCGCAATTTTCTTTTGATGAAGTACACATAGTAACACTTCCTATTGAGTAACCGAAGCATATTCCACATACACTAAAGCATGTGATACAGACGATGTAGTGGGACATCAGCTATAATAATGAAAATTGTGAATAATGTAAATTGTGTAAAAATATAATGAGCGTGAACTAAAATGAGATTTCTGTAAAGAAAATGATAACTGGCGCAGTTTCAATATTTGCCAAAGCTATACCAAGCATCGTGTCTTTGGAGGTGGTATAAACCCATAACGCACATCTTCTTTTGATGCCAGAAGACCTAATATGCTAGTCACTGAAAACTGAAAGACGAAAGATACATATATATACAAAATTCTCTCAAGTATAAATTAATCTCTATGGCATTTGGAGATAAAATATACGTATTACTAGGGGAAAAAAATAAATGATTTATCAATATTAAGTAAAAAAAATCAGTTAAGAATTATCGAATTGCATAGAAATAGCAAGCATAAAAAAATAACTAAAGTATTGAAATGTTACCACTGCTCCCGCCCATAAAGGAGCCCCTGCTATAACGGGGAAGTCAGCTCCACCAGAGAGGATCAGTATCACTATTCCTAGCACCATAGATACAAAGGAAACAGCAATAGATACAACAGAAAGCTTGAAAAGATGAGATAAAGCGTTGGTACGTCTCGTCAGTGTTATTTCTGGAATAGAATATAATACATATTTTGTATATTTGCCATTCTATGGCAATTACTGCTTATAGAATTTCTTAAATGTCTTTATGTTGTCTATCGATAGATGTTATCAAAATTTCTCCTTCCATATCCCATATATTTCTAAATATTAAGAATACTGTAGTTACATTTTCAAGAAATTGTGTAAAACAACTGATGAAAATCAATTAAAGATCAAGCATTAAAGATCAAGCTTTGAAAAATTGAAATCTATTTCTCAAACACTATCTTAAAAAAAGACGTGAAAACAAATCTTTGCTGGCGAAGGGGTCCTGGTCTGTAACTAAAGTGAAGAAAGAAACAGGTCAAAAATTACCATTGTCTTGTTAAAGTGGAAAACATGTGACTTTGCTTCCAAACTTAAATTTTTCAATTATATATACTGCACACCCTACTGTGCCTAGATATTGAAAATCTAAATACTAAATCCTATTGAGTGTCTTTGTTCTTCTTTTTCTCTCTACTACAATCCCGCTGGACACGTCATGACTAGTGGTGTTAATATAGTTGGAAATGAAGAACTTGGAAAACAATGATTGTAATACAGTAGGTCCTAAATACAAGGAGTTATGATTTTTGAATTGGTGACAGAACTGAATTCAGTCCAAATGTTGGACTAAATATGACAAGGAAGACCAGAACACTTTGAACAAAAAGAATTGTATTCAATTGAGAAATATATAGAATTTTCGTCTTAGAAAATTAAAAGGTAAAATGGGAACCATCTATTCTTCAGTTATCTTCTTACAAAAATATTGACTGCTGTAAAGAAGATATTTCAGAGGTAAAATGCTATTGCATGTTCTAAAAGTGATGTAAATGAGAGATTGATCCTCAAAAAATTTAAAAGAACTTTCAGAAACTTTGAAATCGCCATTTTCTTCAAAAGACTATCATCAAAATTTACCATTTTACCTTTTATACAACAATTCGATAATTTAAAATCAAGACTTTTTGATATCATACAACTTTACTTCAACACACACGGAGCTCGGAAATCTTCACATCTTGTGATTGGTCATCACTGAAATTACTTCGTTAAAAGTCATTCTGATTGTACACCCAAGTACACAAGAATTTCTCATTGACAACTTTTAGGTAGTCTTCATAGACCAAATTTTCCAACAAACTTACAGTGGCCACAACTTGTGCCTCTTTTTTAGGTGACCTGTTTTTATAGTACTATGAAGCAGACTTTATGCAACAAGAGGCCCATGGGCCACATCGCTCACCTGAGCACTGTGGCTAGGAAAATGTAGAAATTGGTTTATTATTGAAAAGTTTAAATCCAAAAGTAGTCTTATGACCAATCATGGCTTTGCTAATCTTGAGAAGATTTTTAAAGAATTTTCCTGTATATTTCTATGTAAAACTTTGGTTGGCCAACTATCATGATTTGAACAACTTGAATCTACACTACCTGAGGATGCTTCCATATAAGTATTATATCTTTGTTTTTCTTAAGAAGAAGATTATTTTTAAAGAATTTTCCTAAATATTTCTATGTAAAACTTTGGTTGGCCATTTTGCCCCCCCCCCACCTCCCGGGGTCATGATGTTAACAAACAAAATCTACACTACCTGAGGATGCTTCCATATAAATATGATCAATTATGGCTTTGTTATTCTTGAGAAGAAGATTTTTAAAGAATTTTCCTATATATTTCTATGCAAAATTTTGGTCTGCTATTTTGGCCTCGCCCCTACCCCCGTGGGTCATGATTTGAATAAACTTGAATCTACACTACCTGAGGATGCTTCCATATAAGTTTCATTTTTCCTGGCACAGTGGTTCTTGAGAAGAAGATTTTTAAAGAATTTTCCTACATATTTTTATGTAAAACTTTGGTCGGCCATTGTGGCCCCGTCCTACCCCCGGGGGTCATGATTTGAACAAAACTGAATCTGCACTACCTGAGGATGCTTCCATATAAGTTTCATTTTTCCTGGCACAATGGTTCTTGAGAAGAAGATTTTTAAAGTATTTTCCTACATATTTCTATGTAAAACTTTGGTCGGCCATTGTGGCCCCGCCCTACCCCCGGGGGTCATGATTTGAACAAACTTGAATCTACACTACCTGAGGATGCTTCCATATAAGTTTCTCTTCTTTTTATATATATTTTTATTAATTTCCAATTATCTCCCCTTGCATATGGCCCTTCATTAACAAATTTGAATCCCCTTCACCCAAGGATGCTTTGTGGCAAATTTGGTTGAAATTGGTCCAGCGGTTTTTGAGAAGAAGTCGAAAATGTGAAAAGTTTACAGACAGACAGACAGACAGACGGACGGACTACAGACAAAATGTGATCAGAAAAGCTCACTTGAGCCTTCGGCTCAGGTGAGCTAAAAACTATGGTTGAGAAGAAGTTATGTTCAACATTCAGACTTTAGTTTATTGACGTGATGTTCTGTGTGGTTATTTTCATTCCATCGTCTGTATTTGATATATCCCGGTGGACATGAAATAATAGACAATTTTCCTTACTCATGTAAGCTCTCTATATATATTACCTGCATATGGTATTTACGCCTCCCAACTTATTCGATACTCAAGAGCAAGCACTGACTACTGTTAAATTTTAATCTGAGACAAGACATTGACAGGTAAGTTGATATTACAGGAATTTCAACAACCCCACGTTTAAAGTCAGACTTTTGTAATTTCTAGATCGTTATAATGACCTTGTTAGCAAATATAACCTATGATTTGATCGTATTTTGGCCGACGATTTTCATACCATGTGTTAGGTGTCTGTTTTACACTAAAACTGACTACGGAATATTCCTTCACTTCCAATATAAACAAGGGTTCACGGCAGAAGTGACAGGTCAATAGGGGAAGCTTACTCCTCCAGGCACACCCATCTCACTTCTGGAATTTTACGGAGGTCCGTGGATTCTGGATTTGTCAACAGTTGAAGTTAATACACTGTTAAAGTTAACAGGAGAATTAAATTATGATATTCAAAATATATAAATAAAAATGCATTTGTTTTTTTTAATGGCTGAATATCATTATTTCTCACATGTTCTTGCAGACCAAGTTTAATTAGAAAAAGGCGTCCTTTTTTTTTACAAATGATTCCTGGATATTCATTTGAGATTTTATAAATTATTTTCTTTAATAATTAATGAGAAATAAAATGGTTTTATTCACACTATTTTGCAAACTAAGTTCCCTCTATGTTAGCAGTTTTAATGAAACAAAGTTCATTTTCGTAATTTTATAATCCGAAATATGGCCTGCCTGAAGAGGAGTTTAACCCTTTTCCTATCGACTTGTTCTCTGTAACTATATTAACTTCAAGTACATACATTTACTTGCATTACCAAATTCTAGAACCGCTACGCTGGGGCCATGAAAATCACAACTTTGGTAGAGGGTTCAATGAAATTTTACAAAACTGTTTAAAATTGATTACGAGAAGAAACTGAAAATGTTCCTTTAAAAGTCACGACCGATGAACGACGCTTAATGCAAGTTGCAAAACGACAGAGGAGGGTCACCTTAAGTGACCTAGAAACAGTGTTGCAGGAAAAATTTCATTTTGAGACATATAGTCAATTATTTTTTAAATCATTATCATTCCGGCCTGGTTGAGGAGCGGACATCCTTAAAAATCGTGCTGATACATTTTCTCGTATTTCCAGGGAATGTGTGTTTTTTTTTTTGTATTGATGAAACAAGGAAATCAGCAGTCTTGTTTAAAGACATAATTTCGTAAGTTTTATTGTCGATACACTGACCTTGTCAGCAAATACAAATTATTCATTGAGTCAAATGCTGACTGACGTTTTTCATACTGATTGTTAGTCCATTATTTATACACTGAATTGACGACGGATTTTTTCGTTATTTCCTGATCATGACAAGGAGCACACGGCGGGTGAGACCGGTCGGCAGGGGATGCTCACTCCCCCATGGGACTTGATCCCACCTCTGATGTTTTGGAGGTCCGTGTTTGCTCTTTTCCTATTTTATATTGTTTAATGGACATTTGAGTTTGAATAATGCCCGTTATCTTCATATACTTTATTCATAAACAATGTAGCATATCTCCAAATGTGTATAACTTTGTCAATATTGCTACAGCCTAAATTGTGTTTTCATATCATTTGAAGATCAGTCTATGTATGTTTACATATGATCGTTGAAATGGTAATGGATGTGTGAAAATAAACATATATTGGTTAAAACAATGATTTGTGAGAAAAGACATCAAAATGTAACATTAACTCAGCGTTTATATTTTTTTGCATTACAGTTTTACCTGATACTTGAGTATTGGGTCCTTTCAGTGAAGTAGCCATTTTTGTTGGTTAGAGTAATTTCCACTGTTGAGGTTATCAGCTTTTATAAAGGTATAATCACGTGTTTTTGATGTTTACCAATGTTATCATGTATACCAATACACATTAAGTAAACAAACACTAATACCTGTATGCAGTTGTTAATGGTATATTGCAACATAAGTAAAGGAAGTTGATGATTGAAAAGTTATGTCATTATCGCCGTGTATAGGGGCACATGTGGGGTTTCGGTTAAGTATCATATGAGGTTTCAACTCCGAAGCGATGATTTTTTGCACTTGGAAAATATATTTGTAAAAATCCTTCGCTAATGAATTCTTCGGGGCCAGATTGTAAGAACGTATTACCTTCCAAATTAGTGCAATAGGCTGTTGAAGGCGTTACGGATTCTGCAAACACTTCTGGACAGTTCAGTCGACTGAGAAAAGTTGTGGTGTCGCTGATATTCTTTGCTCTATGATTTTCAAAAGCGGACCTTTAAAGCTCATTTTAATGATGATAGATAAAGATTGATATAAAAACAATCCATGAAAACATTTCTCACCTTAAACAGTCTCTATTTCTGTAAGAAATATAAACTTTTGTGGCCAAATTCTACTGTGCCTAACGGGGTTTCAAGGTTTGTTAACATAGGGGGTTTCAACTCAAAGGCTTTTTCTATGTTTTAATCTTTGCACTACTATTCACTATACCATTATTTGACGGTACCGCAACAAAAGTGGGAGTTTTCAATGAAGAATTTCAGTAGTAAAATGTTATGGTTGGAAGAAATGCTCCCAATGCTATGTGCAAATTTCTTCCAAGTCATGTTGTAAATTTTGAATTTTCAATTTACCGGGTGGCAGTAAATACAAAATTTACAACATGACAACTTTGAGTTCAAAATTTACAACATGACCCCACATTTACTACAGGGAAATCTATTCCCTTGTGCATGAGACGCAACCTGTCTCTCGAGTGAGCTTTCACGTCTGTTCATTTTTGCAAATAGGTGACAACCAGACTTTTTGCTTACCATATGACCATTCATTTCTATTTCGTGGTAAATGGACGAAATCCATATTCTTGAAAGAAAGCAAATATTTAAACATAGTACAGAAAAAGCCTCTGGGTTGAAACCCCCTATGTTAACAAACCTTGAAACCCCGTTAGGCACCGTAGAATGTGGCCACAAAAGTTTATATTTCTTGCAGAAATAGAGACTGTTAAAGGTGAAAAAAGTTTTCATGGATTGTTATTATATCAATCTTTTTCTATCATCCTTAAAATGAGCTTTAAAGGTCCGCTTTTGAAAATCATAGAGCAAAGAATATCAGCGACACCACAACTTTTCCCAGTCGACTGAACTGTCCAGAAGTGTTTGCACAATCCGTAACACTTTCAAAAAGCCTATTGCACTAAATTGGAAGGTAATACATTCTTACAACCCGTGCACATGTCATAATGCAAAAAGTCATCGCTTCGGAGTTGAAACCCCATGTTACTTAACCGAAACTCCAGATGTGCCCCTATACACGGTGATTATGTTTATCATAAAGCTTTATTGCTAGATAATCTTTTACGTCATTTTCTAGTATAATATCCAAATATTGCGCAGATTCGTCAGACTTTGTAGTGTCTTTCATTTTAAGTTCAAATGAATACATACCATAGTAATGAAAAAAGAATCTTAATTAATAAACCGTCTTTGATATATCTAAATATTAAATCGATACCCACTATAAGAGACTTCTTTTCAAGGGAGAATGTTTTGAATAAATTCTGCTTCACATGAATACAAAAAAGATCTGCTAATATTGGGACTCAAGTAATGTACCCAGGACTGAAGAACTTGATCTCCAAAAACTATATATCAGTGGTCACAGTGACTTATTTCTATTTGCAATACACTTTCTTCCTTTCATTTTACACCTTAAAGTATCTAAGTAGAAGGGAGATACGAAAATGTAACAGATAGCTGACCATGACCGCCATACCATAAAATGGTCCATCTTTGATGGGTGTATTTACATTGTGAATATCAAATAAATGGCAATAATAGAGGTCCTACTATGGTAATTCTGTACCACAAAACGACAAATTTTCTTGAAGCATTTTGCTACTAATCATTTCATGAAAAAATTTTAAAAAAAAAAACACATGTAGAGGTTTAATGATTTATTCATAATAAATGGTCACACGTTTGACTTGACAATTGACAGTGTGGAATAAAATGTCATCTGTGTGCGTTTGGTGTTATGTTACTGGGAACTTTTCTTTCCCTGACGTGTGTTATTTTTATCTGGGGCCCTGGGGTAGTGTTCACCGACCTGAAGGACCCCCCTTCCCATGGAACTGTTTACTGTCCGTGAGGACCCCCCTCCCAATGGAACCATTTACTTCACAGGGGGCACTGTTGTTTGACAACCTTCTAAAGGGGCAGAAACTCTTCTTTGACCGCTGGGCATTTACATCTTGATCCCTTCTACCTGGGTCAGCAGCTTTGACATTGAGGTCTTACATGACCTTTGACTTTATTATGCCTATCTCAATAACTGGATTTTTTTCATAAGAAATTCCATTCACTCTTCATTAAGATTTAACAAAAATAAGAAAATTTCATCCTTATATAAAAAGCACCATTTGCTATCATAGCAACTGAAAAAAAAATAACAATTATAAAAAGAAACTCAATTTTGCATGCCCTTCACAACAGGGCGATTTAAAAAAAGTTGAGATCTTGGGGCTTTACTCTGAAATCATGAACACTCAATCCTGAGGGCAAAGAGTATAAATATAGGGCAAATATTTTCATGTTTAATACATGTGTAATTGTCCTTGATTTGTACAGAATGGCAGTGGCGCATGCGTGTGTGTGGCTGATAATTCTCAGCATGTATTCTGTAATCATCGGAGGTTGTTTTTGTGGTTGTGTAAATATACATTTGACATGTGACAATAAGTCATTCAAATTTCATTTTTCCTTTCCTAAAAGTTATATCTATAAGTTGTGTTTTCATATGACCTTTTTGTTTAACTTCTTTGGCATATTTACAAAACAAAAGAGATGTAATGATATACAAATATTACTTAACAAACCAAAATCTTTTCTTATTATAATACAAAAGAGATGCTTAACACTAACCATATTTAAATTAAGATTCAAAGAAAATGATACACATCCAGCTTCCAAATTAATATTAGAGAAAATTATCATAACTTTCATTACATTAAAAAATAATTGTAATTATTGTACCTTTTATAATTCTGTGAAATACAAGTATTTCATTGGCTTCGAATAATCTGACATAGTTCTTATTTGTTCAAAAATAATTGTGCATCGAGACAAAAAAGAAAGCTTAAAAATACCTCTGCAAGAACTTTGGAATTGTTTATAATCAAAAGAAATTATTAAATCTAACAACATGTTGAAATAACATACAAAAAGTGACTCTAAAATTGGTAACAAGATATTGTCATATTCCTTTGTCATTTCAAACAGTATCAACATACAAATACAGATTTGTAATCAAGTTATCAAGTATGATATACATATATCATTACATCCCAATAGGATATCTACAAGGACAGAGATGTGAGGTAAAAATACAAACAGAGACGTACAAGATAACCTAACTATATACTCCCATGTACATAAAAAGCAGAGGAAATCTAACCTAGGAGAGAAGGGGCCTAATTAATATACTTTTAAATCACTGGGTTTTGAAAAAAAAAAATCTTTGCTAAAAGAGCTGTCATTTGACACAGAGATTCTGTATGACAATTTAATATAATAACAGAAGTTTATAAAGAACTGAAAAATAAATGGAAACCAAAACAACATTTAGTATGCAGTATGCAGGGCTTTTAAACAGAGAAGAGAGAAAAAAACAGGAAAAATACCAATGTTAAAGAATGAAACAGAATGAATATATTAAGCTCCATATAAGAATACAAACATTCCAAAAAATCACAACAGGTACATAATCTGCATGATACTTAAAAAATAATTTCTTACATAAAACAACAACAAACATTTACGTTTAGAAACGGGGGTGATAACTCCATGCTCTGAAATTGTTTACTCTGAAGAACCAGTGGAAACTAAGTATCCTAAGTAAAAATCTTGATTCTCTTTTGCATAATGCAGCCCTGAAAATTTCCATTTTAATAAAATGTCAGCATTTGATCAGTTTCCAAGTTAAACTAAGTACTCTTATTATCTGTCATATTTCTCAATAGTTCTGAAATAAGAAAGACTGGGCAAATGAACCTGTGAAATTTTTACATTTGCTCACAAATAACTTTATACATTCAAGTGTTTACTTATAAAATATAATTAAATATTCTCTCTTGAAACTGTTGTCAACATTTTGGATTATTTGGTTTTGCTTTCAAATATTAAGCATTAACTACAAAGTAGTTTTGTTGAAGACCAATCACAAGATGTGAAAATTTCCGAGTTCCATTTCACGTTGATCAGTATTAAAGAAATTTTACAGGGCCAGATTAATCCATCAGTAGGCCTTCTTTTAAAAAAATAAATTGAATTAAATTTTACAATTCACTGTATGAAAGATAACAAAATTGATTATTTGAAATGCCTCTTAACATCCCCAACCCGCGATGAAATAATCTACACGGAGGTAGAAATACCAGATTGTTCTTATGAGATGACAATGTCTTTCATAATGCTCTGTAACTCTTTATCCTCCTTCACCATATCTCAACAGTTCTAGCCAATACAACAGCACCTCCTAGAACTGGAAACCACCCATCGGAACATTTTCAGCAGGGGCGTTAAATTCGTACTGCTGAGCGTTTTCATCCAGTTGAGGGGCTACTGCTTTGTCTTCCTCCTCCGTTCCAAAATATCGCTCAATCATGTCAAAAGCTTTCTGGTAGATTTCTCTGTTCTGGTGACTTTGTAGAAATTCTATCTTGTCTAGACCTACAAACAGAGGAAAAAAATTTAGTATGTACAAATACTCTAGCTCTGATTACTACTATTACTACAACAACAAAAAATCCTTAAAATTTTTAAGTTCCCCAATACCAACAAAAAAAGGGACATTTAAATTTTAAATCATTACAAATGTGATTTCTACTGACAGCCATTTAAAAATAAAATTGTAAAGCACTCATTTTAGAAATTTATCTAAATTAAGGCTTATAGGTTCTTTGATCTTTCAAGAGCAAGCATGTTTAATTTGTCATCAGGCATGAATAAAAGACATCTAGAGAACATCTTAAGAATCCTTACCATAACATTCCTCAATTAAGACAGCATAAGGATTTGTTCCATTATGATTCTTCGCGTCCTGCTCTCCCAGTCGTAGAATGTTTTCCAGCCCATTAAGAGCCACCTGTACAATTTTAGCATCCATCACTGTCAGTAAATCACATAGAGGAGGAATACAGTCCTGGTCTACCAAAAACCTACCAGAGAGTAAGATATTCATGTACTAAGTGCTCAAAATGACAACATTGGAAAGAAAATTACTGAAATACATGCATAACCATACCATAACCACACACATCAAAATGTCCTGATATGGAACGCCATCACTGCCTTATAGCATACAACTATGCATTTATTACGTCAATTTATCATTACGTGATGTGAACATATCTTTACGTTATGTCCATTTTTTATGAGATGATGTAAATATCAGGCTTGGGGTCAATTACTTTGAAATGTAATTAATTACTTTCAAATACATTGATAATTTTGTCAATTACTTGCAATTACAATTACATAGATTTTTTCAAATGTAATTAATTACTTTCAATTACTTTGACAAATGTAATTAAATACATTTCAATTACTTCGAGTTTTATTTTTATTAAAAAAAAAAATAAAGATTTTTTGTAAATAAGATTTTTTCTATAGCAATTGAATTCAATTTCATTCACTGTTTTTATATTGGGTATGATAGGACACACTGCAAAATTAGACCTTTACCTTATAATGAGTGTGACACACTGTATAAACAAATAAAACATTATGAGACAATTAATTATTGTACAAACACAAGCCCATGCTACACTAGTATGGTGTATGGCAATTTTCATTTTCTCTCAAATCATATTTTTGATTAAATAAATAATATCTATCACAATTCCATTCATTATTTTCTTTTAAAATGAATCAATACAGGTAAATTTAAAAAGGGATGTAGTTAGTGTAATTGCTGTAAAACAAATTAACTATCTAAACAATCATTGTTATTTGCAAGTGGGAATGGTGTGCAGAATTTATAAAATACGGGAATCTTCCCACCCGTATAAAACTATGTATCATGTAAATATCACCTTTTTAATTATAAACTTTCATTTTGAAAAAAAAGTAATTGAAATGTAATTGAAAAGTAATAAAATACATGACCATTTTTGAAATGTATTAATACATTCAATTACTTGTAATTGAACTCTTAATAAAATTAATATACTTTGAAAAATGTTTAATTACACTCAATTACAATTACTTTATTCAATTACCCCATCCCTGGTAAATATATCTTAAGATCATGTCAATGCTGCATTACATGAAGTAAATACACCCTTTCATTATGTCCGCACTTCATAACTTGAAGTAAAAAATTCATTATGTGAAGTGATAATGTGTTTACATTGTGTTAAAACTTTATTACGTGAAATGAATGTTTCTTTACATCATTTCATTTCTTTAAAATGTGAGGTCAAAATTGCATTACGTCAAGTAAATTGTGTTTTATAATTAAACTTATCATTACATGAAGTCAAAAGCCCATTCCTTTTTGAGAGTGTATATTTCTAATTATATCAAAGCATTATTACGTGATATGGATTTATTTTATTTTACGGCGAGGGCATCATGATATAACACATCTTACCTTTATGTCAGTGCTTTATTACGTGGTGTAAAAAGTGATAACATAATGTGAACATATCTTTATATTATATCAACACTTTATTACATTATGTCAAGCCTTCCGTGATGTGGATATATAATTACTTTATGTCAACTCTTTCTTATGTGATTTAAAAATATCTTTATATTGTGTTAACTGATCTACCATAAAGTTCATTTTTTAAAATACATTTAAAACATCAAAGATGTGTTTTTTTAGTATATAATGAATGTTGACGACAGTTTTTAATTATTAATATGCAATTCATATGGACATGCAAATTCCACCCCTACCCCCATAAAATTAATTTTTAAGTTCATAATATTATGTAATATCAAAATAGTTTAATATGCAATATCAAATTAGTTTTAATTACTTCTCATCAAATTCATTTTAAAAAAATCAGCTACCAACAAGAGCTATTTTTAATCCAACAGGCTTACCCATTTGGCTTGTCAAGTTTTTTCGGGTAAATGATTTTTTTTTCTGGCTGACCTCCTTTTTCAGCTACTACTCACACTAAAGTTATTAATTTCTCTCTCTAATTTGACATGCAATTTTCTGTTATCAAATTCTTCTGACCAGTGCTTCTAAATCAATTAGATATGAGGGCAGTGGTGGAATTTCTCAAGGACATACATTATATTTGTTAAAGATTGCTGTCAAGTATTTATAGTTTTAAAAAATAAGTATTTCAACTTAATTTAACATTTTTAAAACTAATAAGGTCCTACAAATACATAATATTTGATTACATTTTTTTGAATAATGTAAATGAATAGGAAAAAAAGACATTTTTTTTAAAAATTATACTTAAATTAAAGGTCACAGTGACCTTGAAATAGGTCGCGACACACCTTCTACCTAAGATGCATAAACTGGCCAAGTTTGATGATCGTAAGTCTTATAGTTTTCGAGTTATGGACTGGACAGGATTTTTCCATATTTGGCTATAACTTTTTAACTATAGGTCAGAGCGACCTACTTTCTGTGCGCGACACACCTTCTAAAAACAAGATTGTCATGAAAAGTTTGATAACTCTAGGCCTTATAGTATTAAAATTATGTATGTGTACATGTCATAAAGAGTTGACATAATGTAAGGAAAGTTCACACGATGCAATAGTAGTGTGGGTTAGCCTGTCATAAAGAGTCCCGCATAATGTACGGGCGTACACAAAATAGTATTGGGTAATGTCATAAAATATTCAAAAATGTTAATTGAACTTTCTTTTATAAAAAAAGTGGAAAATAATATTTTGTTTACTTGAACAATATAGGACTATATAAGACTATTGAAACAGAATGGGAATTTATTTGTATTTTTTTTATAAAGTCCATGCAATGGGTATTTTACCTGATTAACTTAATTCCTATTTCCTTTCATTTAATACATGTATTTTTTCTTAAAATTATTTTTTAGTTAAAATAATAAAATTGCAAGTCTTAAAAGTAATTATCCAGAAGTTTTTCAGACTTGTATTTATGATAATAATTACGTTTAAAGATTGACTAGACTAATTATGTTTTCCTTTGTATCAATAAAACCTTGCAATATATTGCATTTCACACTGGAGAAGTACAGTAGTATAACCCCATATTTAATCATGGCGGTAAAATCAAAAAACATGGAATCCTTCCATGTTTTCAACGTTCATCACAAAATACTTTTATGCTCTTTGCACTTGGATTTGGTAATAAAATATAAAGTATGACAATTTTTTTTTTGTTTCACATCGATGTAAAAAAGACATTTATTTTATAATCGATTAGTAGCATAATATGAGCTCTAATGGTGTGCAGAATCGATTGTCGGCGACTAGCACTAGATGTACTAGCTTTAAGGATGAAAAACTTCAGCATGATTGTTGGCTTTTAACTTATTAGAACATAAATTTTTAATCTTCTAAGAAATTTCCCATAGGAAAGTGAATTCTATACAGAGTTTATGTTCGGCAGACAAACCTGTATTTGCATTCTGTTTCCTGCTGTGATATTTGAAATCGTCCAACATGCCTCCTTGCGTATTGATTCTTTAGAACTACTGAGTAAATGTAACAGGCACGGCAGGGCAGAACAGTTCAAAATAATCTATAAAACAAAAAAATTCAAGTTAAATTCAAACAGATGCTATACATTTTTCACATTTTTATTAATTACTGTGTAATCAGTAATTGTGTGTGTTTTTAATTATTTCATTGTTCTTGTGGTATGAAGAGTCCCATGAATTTATGTCCTCCACAAAGTTTAAGATTTTAAACAGCACTTCTTCAAACAAGAAATAAATTACCCTTTCACCAATGATTTTTGCTTTAAACCACAAAAATTTGGTCCCAAGAAAGTGTCCTAGACGGTATGCAGGAATATCCAATAATAAATTCAATTAATTACCTGTGTTTGAAAATCATCTCCAGTAACTATGTTTCCAACAACTCTGAGGGCCGCAGAGACTACACTCTGATGTGTGTACCTACAAATTCAAGAGTCAGAATTAAAAAACTTCCTTTTCTGAGTTTAAGGTTTCAAAATAATGCTTTTAACAAGATTCCTTGTGTAGCTCATCAAAGAACATTTTTTTAAACTCTTCTCTAACCAAAACCTTTCTTTCAATTTTTTTCAAAACTGTCTTAATGGCTCTGAATGCTAACATCAACACTGTCAGATAGGCTGTTCTATTTTACAAACTTACATGAGAAGTTCCACCAGTCGGCGACACACCCCTGAATCTATCACAGACTGAATCTTTTCATTGGGACCGTCAGAGAGGTAAGATAATGCCCAGCATGCATCAGCTAGCACATCCTTGTCTGTGTGGAACAGCACAGCCAAATTATGGCTAGCACCCCACACCCCCCCCCTAATAACAGGCAACAGCCAAATTATAATATTAATATTGAGGCAACGGAGAAACCTAAAACACAGCCAAATTATACTATCAATATTGTAACACCCACACCCACCCCCATAATAACACAAGCAACGAGGAAGATACCTAAAACAGAGCTAAATTATACTACATTGTGTACCACTAAAGTATATTTTAATAGTTTTTCTTTTTACCTTTGCAAAATCTGGAGGAGGATTTTTTCCTCTACACAAATTAGATAAACACCATACAGCATTCCTTGTCATAGATAAACTGCTTGTATTTTTGCTTAATAACCTGTTAAAAGAAAATATTATTATCATTCTAATATTACTCTTACAAAATTATGAAATCACCAAAAAGATTTCTTGTAATATACAAGCATTTCATATTCACGTTTCAATCCCTAAAAATGCATGCGGAAAAGGTGTATTGCCATCATACGCATGGTACAAAATTGATTTTGTCATCACAAAAATGCTATACACTTTTAGAATTGATTTTTCAACATTTGAATGCTATACACTGGACACTTACTGTAACAGGGGGACCAGAATGCCTTCATTCAGTACGTAGTCCCTACACTCCGGACTGTCTCCAGCAATGTTCCCTAAAGCCCATACAGCCTGTAAAGTATTATATGTTGTTTATATATACAGATTGTTTGTATATACAGAACAAGGTGATATTCTGTGAAATGACCAAAGACTAGAAGTGAATACCCTTCTACTAAGAAAAATATGTTTTTTTCTTCTTCGCATATTTACACAATTATGCACATACATTGTATATTGTAAATTTTATGTTGATAGTGCAATCATGACTATAAAAATCAAAGACTTTAATTCTCAGGTTTGACTTGTCACACAATTTGAACATACATGTATATGACCTTGACATTGGAAAGTAAAGTTCAAGTTGGAGATACATGTATATATATTGATGTCATGAAGATCAACACCTTTAACACCTGTTAAATTTCACCTGTGACGTGTGTATATCTCACCTGTTCCTGTACATCCTCTATATCTGATGCCAGTAATTTTATAAATATTGGCACAGCACCTGCTTCTATCACCACTCTGGTTTGTAGGGAGGTTCCTGATGCTATGTTTGTCAGGGCCCAGGCAGCTTCAAACTGCAGGGAAGAAAACATCAAAATTTACAGTCTTTGTCAATGATTTGGATCAAAACGGATATATCCTTTCTCTGCATTTGATTCTTATGTACTTAATTCATTTTGACTGTATGGTGATGTAAATAAATAGAATTGAATCTTATTTAAAATCTGAGTTCAGTTAAAGCTAAAAGATGTTTGCAATATATACATATATTTTATATTGTAAAAATATATATAATCATGATTATACAAACTTGTAAAGAGCAGTTGCCATCTTTCTGTAAAAATTCCACAAATCTGGGAACAATGCCTGTCTGAATCACTTCATCTATAGGTGGGTTTGGTTCTACAATGATATTTTTATTTGTCAATAAGGTTTTATTTTTAATATGTTCAGCTATAATAAGAGACCAAAGTGGGTGCAAGACCTAAGCAAAGCATTTAGCAAATCTGATGGTACATACACTTGTAATCCTGTAATTTGTACTATATTCCCTCAAAGTCTTCAATCAGTTTACATATTATGAAAATTGTTCATTGTTGATTTAAACATTTATGTTCCCCATTTGAGATTTTTTACTGTTGACATATTTTAAATCCCTGATTATAGAAGTATTTTCCAGTACCCACCTCTGGAGAGGAGTTTTCTAAATTTCTGTGTGGCTGCTTCTTGTTCCTCCACATTTTCACTGTACAACACTTGGATCATTTCCTGAGTAATGCCTCCCTGTCAAATACAACAGGAGTTAAAGAATAAAATCTCCAAGAAAATAGACTTTTAAGTCCCATATTACTATGCTATAAGATATAACCATTGACACACAATGCAGTCCCTATTAGCAAAAAGCAACTCTAAATTTTCTTTTTAAGATTGCAGTGCATGAATATTTAAAATGGAAAGTTGGATTGATCATTAAACACCATCAACATTCATAAAACAGTGATTTATGTGTACATGAATTCTTAGGAGTCATCATTTTTGGGGAGAATATCACCAGTCTTCTCATCTTCACTAGCCAAGGGTTTCACTCAACTCCACTCCTAAACGGAGTGGACAAATAACCCCTGGCTAGCAATGATGCAGTCTTCTAGCTAGTAATGTTGACTATTGGTATGTTCTTTCAAGCTAGTGAGCATCGTTTCATCATTCAGAGGGGAAAAATGTTTGTTTGTTTTTTGACACAAGTATTTCTTAAAGAATCATCATATTAAATAAAGTAATGCTAAGTTCTATAATCAAGAAATCTGAACTCACGGTGTATGGGGTTGAGCTAACTGTGTTGTCATGGATATTTCCTCCAGCAAAATCCTCTGGACCCCCAGTTGGCATGGAAACATTCCTCCTTTTAAAAAGCTACAGGAGAAAATTTACAACAATGAACTTAACCTTGTTTGAAGAATACTAAATGATGGGTTATCATACCAGGGTCCGACACTCATCATTATTTGGTCTCGCCATTTGGGCAACCTTGGTGTGATCACAGGTTGCCCGAATGAATTTCAGGTCATCCAAAATGAAATATCAAATGAAACAAAACTTAATGTGCAAGTGTTTAAAATTGATAAGATAATTAACAGAAGTGTTTTTGAATTTAAAAATTATGTAAACCAGACATTTTTGGAATATCAAGATGTTTTCAAGTATTTTATCAAACAAAAATATAAGCAGAATCAGACATGCAGAATGCTAATGTTTGTAGTTTAAAACATTCATTTTCACTTACCATGAAGGCCTAAATAAATGGGGTCAAATATCCCTGGACTGAATTACCTACGTGTGATATTACAGTGGACACCCAACATGGCTGTCTAGCAGCAGAAAACGATCATCAGATGATCAGAAAGTTGTAGGGGAAATGCAAGATGTTACAATGATGATTATTACTCTTTATATTTAAGGTGATTTATGACTTAGCTGACATATTTTATATCTCAAATAAAACTTTTTAAAGGCTTTTGGTAAAAATTGCATCAGCAGATTGATCGCACACTGAGATTTGGCAGGAAGAAAAATCTACGCGGCTGCAATTTGAACATGTGAAATGGGTTGGTTTGGAGTCAGAAAAATATGTTTTCAAGGCCCTATGAAGTTTATTTTAAAATATTAAACATCATTATTAAATTTTTAAATATTCCCAACTCCTCCCAGGTCATCATTTGGGCGAGCCAGTCTGAAAATCAGGTCGTCTGAAATCATTTCTGGATGGAAAGGATGAGGTGACGAGCGTGAATGTCGAACCCTGCATACAGTTCTATATTGTAACCACATTATTAGTATATCATGTTATATAAACAAGGTTCTACAATTTTTCTGTTATAGGTATCAGATTCTACTAATTCATTTTTTCATACACATGGAACTTATAAAATTATTCAGTAGTATGTGTACATAATCAAATGTTCATATTATTCATTATTTACACTTCAACTTTTCATTTATTAAGAATGTCATTCCCATCGGCCCCATTGAAGGGGTAGATAAATCAAGATATTTCATGTCAGTTCATATCATTAAACTGAAGTCATTTAAATTTTTAAACAAAATGAAAAAATCAAATTTGTCAACTTTAATTACACAAAATGGCAATGCAAGCTTGTTTTTGCCCTTTAATCTCTACTCAATGTGTTTACCATATTTACTTCATTATGTGTTCAAAATTAAGCAATATATCACAACTACTGAAATGTTTTATTTTTTAGCACCTTTGAATTTGTTCATGTCTTCAGTTTATAATGAACAGCCTAAGGCGATATTTTGTTTATTACAATACTTTCACCTGTGTTTACCTGTTTTCACCTGTGTACCGTGTTTACCTGTTCATCTCTTTTCTGTTTCCTGAGCTGGATCCCCTCCTCTTCACGCCTTCGTCTGAGTTCCTGTGAGTCTAGTGCTTTGTTTTTGTAAGACTTGAGTCTATTGGCTGGACTTTCTGCATTAGATGACATCTGAAACACGTAATTAGAATTCAATTATAAAAAAATTCATCATTGAATCTTGTTCTTCGCAATCAATGTTTAAAAGCATGAAAATAATCAATTTACTGTAATTAATTTTCATTACTTTCTGTCAAATCAGGTCAACAGGAGTTATGTAGAGGGAGATAACAAAGAACGTCATGACTAAGGGTACAAGTCAAAACGGCACCTGGTGAAAACGGCACTTAGGAAATATGCAAAACGGCACTTGAGAGTAGTCAAAACGGCACTTTAGAAAAGTCAGAACGGCACTTTTTTTATTTTGAGAATTTGATATTGTTTATACAGAAAATGAATCTTTATGTTACATTAATTTATAGTAATAAATGTGTATATTATTATTGATAAAAAGTTTAAAAAATATTTTAGGAAAAAAATTAAACTGATTCATTTGAAAATTATTATAGTTTTGTACAGGGGTTAGATTTTTAAAATGTATTTATATTTTAAATCATATAACTATATTTATTTACTACAAAAGAGATCAAATCCCAATTATATTATTATGATCCTTTGAAATTAAAAAATTTATAGTGTTGCAAATATGTATACTACTGTTTTGGGGGTGCCAGTCACAGTTGACTAGTTGACTAATTAGAAGCCAGTTAGAGTATGTTTACTAAGAATACACTTGTAGGTTTAGGAAACAAAAGACCATTTCACACCTCCCCTTCAATAATCTGTTGATCGTCAAATTGCAATCATATACAGCTACTTTTGTGTATTTCTCGACAAAATGTCAAATGGATTGTACACAAGTTAGAAAAACTAACTGTACATAAAATATGAGTAGCCATGCAACATTTAATAATATAATAAACATGTACATACAAGAACAAAACATTTGTTTTTTTATAATGAAGATATACAATGTTGATATTGTTAAAATAATTTCTACAGAATTAGATAGAAATGTGAGATAAAGTGACTCTTTCTGTAAATATTGTTTTTTTTTAAAATCATTAACACCATTTCTTTTTTCATATTATCAACACTACACTACAAATATAATTATTCTAAATCCCACATATTGTTGTGTTATAGCTTAAAAATACTACCTTTAAAAATAGATTGAAAATAAAGCAAAATTGAAGCACAAAAAAATTCTAAAGTCAATAAATTAAATTTTGACTTAAAAAGAACTTATGTGAAGTATATATCATAACACTATTATATACTTTTTTCTCTAAGTGCCGTTTTAACCAAGTGCCGTTTTCACTAAGTGCCGTTTTAACCAAGTGCCGTTTTGCATATTCCAGGTGCCGTTTTCACCAGGTGCCATTTTCACTAGGTGCCGTTCTAACCATAATTCATGACTAATGTGATGTGTTTTTTAGATTGGGACTGACACATTTACCATCAACATTATCAAATCAAAAGATCATACAAAAATGTCACTATTGTAGGCTACGTCAGGGTACATTTATAACTTCTACTCACATCGTAAGGCATTTAGGTTCATAAATCAAGTATTTTTAGAAACTTTATATGGCTTCTTTCTTCCTTTCTAAGACAAAACCACCATTTTACTTCAGACGAACCGAGCATGCGTTTTCCCAACAGCTGATTTCCCGGAAAATTTACCTATCTTTTAAATCTGGGAAGGAATTTGATTTTTGGATGAATTATTTCAAAAAATTATTTTTAACTGCAATAAAATTAAAAAAGAATTAGTGTCCTTTTTTTCCTTCATTCTCGTCAGGCCGAGAATTCGCAATCAAATATGGCTGCCTCCAGTGCTAAGCATGAAAATGACCTACCATGCGATTTATGTGACGATTTCTTAGCATTTCAGGTGATAATTACTTTATATTTACATGTGGTGCTTTTCATGTATTTTAGATATGTAAAATTATATTTTTACTCACTCAAAAATGCTAGAACATTTGATTTTACATAGGGTTTTGATTTTTAAGACTCGAATTTCCTCTACAGGTTAATACATTGCCAGTTATTCAATCAAAATATGCATTAATTTTCTTATTTTTTTTCATAGCGTTAGAAAAATATATGTAAACACGAAGTTTTATTTGTGTGCAGGTGATTAAATACATCATGGAAACCAGATAATATAGTCATGATATAATTATTTTTTGGTTGCATAAGCCATAGTTTGAGTGTTATATAATCAAAAATAAGCAAAACATTAACATTCAAATGAACAACTCATGTTGACGAGTGCCTACTTTGATTCTTGATTTTGAGCCATTGGCCTGTGAAACCTGCAAATTTATGAAAAAGTACATACTGAGTGGGGAAATTTGATGCCACCCTTTCCCAAACACACTCAGCATTAATGGTTGCAAATAGCAAATTAGAAGATAGTTTATTTCCTTATTTATTTACTGCACATTAAATTACTTTGAATCCCATTAGCTCTGTGTGAACTCATAACAAAGCTAATTTTAATTAAATTTACTGCATGCGTAAGGCCAGAATTAAGTCACAAGTGATGTCAGTGGATAGATTTAGTTATCTGAAAATTATGTGAATCACTAAAATATTGTCAGTCCCAATGATTAGTATGTCAAATGGATCTACTCTACATGATGTGATTTACAATGAAACAAATGGAGATAACAAACAGTATTCAAGATCAAAAGTCCATAAAACAATTCGAAAGAGGAGCACAGCAAACACAGACCTCCAAAACATCAGAGGTAGGATCAGGTGCCATGGAGGAGTGAGCATCTCCTACCTCCGGTCATGATTGTGAAATAACGGAAAAATCTGTTGTCAATTCAGTGTATAAATAATGGACAAACAATTGGTATATAAAAAGGTCAGTCAGCATTTGACTGATGATAAATTGTATTTGCTGACAAGGTCATTGTAATTTTATCTACAATGCCCAAATAAAAGTCATAGTAAAGGTTCAATTATCTCTTCACATCATCACCAATCTTTTTCAACCAATGACCCTTGTTTTAAATATATACCCGGTATGCATGTATTACAACAATTACTATCTTTTCAGCTGTCAAAATCATGTCGACTTTCGTGGAATTGAAAATGAAAGTAGAATGGTAAATGAATACCGATCCCAATCAGAATTTAGACTAAGAAAAACAGAAATTAAAAAAATTGAGGCGGGGTATAAAATCGGGGCGGTCGGGGATAATAATCTAGGAATATTTTTATTTTGGCCTTAGTGAATATTGAAGTGATCATGTATACCACAAAAATGTTAAAACTTATAATTGTATGTTACAGACAATAAATATATAATTAAGATAATTGTGTTTTAATTTTGAAGTATTTGCATAAAGGATGAGGTGACTTGCGGCCCCTGGTAGATTGACAAAAAATTAAATGTCTACATTTTACTCAATTTTTTGTTTGTAACTAATCACTGATATGTGTACCTTTATAGAATAATGTTTTAAACAAAAATAGAAACGTGATTTGAAAGATAGAGATCTTTAATTGGGGTAGGGGTATTGTGTTTACATCCAATTTCCATTGCATTTTAACCCCGCCCCACTCTTTGAAGCCCTTAAAATATACGAGTGCAGGGGGGTACAATTTTCTCCTTTGGCTGGTCACTGTATTTTATTGATATTTATCTACCTAACTGCTCTCACGTGTTATTTTTTTTTAATTGGTGAAACCTACATGTAGCTGACCTTTCCCATTATGAACAGATCGACGGAACTAGATTTTCTGACGTAAGAATGAATTCATATGCTAATCGAGGCATTGGCGATACTTTCTAACTGACCAATCAGCTAAATGAAATTCGTTACGAGTGAATACCACTAAAATACTATGGAAACATGCTTGGAATTTTACTGCTTTCCGAAATTTTTTTTATGCATTTGAGTCACTGATTGGTCACGGATCTATATATATGTACAATTTCCGAGATCACAGTAAAATTTATATACAGTTACAAACAATTGATAAATATACGTTAGTTTAAAGTTTTGTAGCACGTTTGGTGAGCAATTTGATAGGTCTACTTGTATTCCCGAGTATCAGTGATTACAAGTTTCATGTGCATTTCTTGTCCTAAAAACCTTAAATGCTGAAAATCCATGCATATTATTAAGTATAAATAGCCTTGGCTGACCATTATAAAAGTTTGAAATGTAGAAAAGGATAACAGGTAAATTGACCTAAACCACGTGTCTGAGATAATAAAATGTAAACGTAGTAAACCAGCATGTTTTGTTGTTCTTTCATCGGATTGGACAACGGCTATGTGCGAAATAATAACAATAGCCATATAAGGTCTTCTCGGACACGCTTATCCCTCTATTGTACTAAGACCCGCCCATTCTCTTGCCGTAAAAGAACATATTCTCACAAACCTGGCCAAATTTAGCTTTGATAGGGTCTAAAACATCAAAGATAATGCAGTATTCCTTATAATTAAAATATGTCTGAACTATTGAAACTATTCAAAAGGCGTCATATTTATTCACTCATGTTTGAAAACTACCAATACGTTGTAGATTAAATATAATTTGTCGTGGAAAAAGGGGCCCCAGATAGCAGTTATGTCACATCATCCTTTGTTAATTTCTATATTAAGATGTATGTATATGATCAGTATGATTTTAATTAACTTTCAGGAGCAGCTGAAGAAGCACAGACTGGTGGATGATAGGATCATTAACACCCTGAATTCCTCCCTCCCTACCATATCCTTCCCTGCCGACAGGACCACCAAATGTGAAAGCTTATATAAAGAGGTACACATGTACTAGTAGTATACTATGTTTGAAACCTAGGATTTAACAGGAATATTCTAATTTCATGAGGGATGGGGGGATGTTGACTTTTCACTGAGAATTTGTATTTTATGATATATGATTTATTTTGCTAAGACCTATTTGACTCAATCTAATTAAAATTAGATGTTAGATCCACTCGCATACTTGCTACACTAACATCGATGATTGTAGCGAGTATGTGAGCGGATCTAACATTTAATTTTAATTAGACTGTATTTGACTAGTAAGATGTGTTACTATATTAATATTGATATCTATGTCGTTATTGACTAGGATTTACTTTTATTTAATAATTGAATGAGTTTATTAATTTACATACCGGTATATACTTCATATTCATTGTATATATATATATAACCTGAAGGTTACATTTTGATGAAGATGTAAGCAATGTAAAGTAAGGGAAATAACTCCTACATAAAAATGTATTTTAATTCCTTTTCACATATTTTACAGCTTAGCAAGGAGTATGAGAAAAGAGAGTCCGCCATTAAATCCTGCGTCTCTCTGTTGTCCAAAAAAGTAGAAATACTACGAAAGGAACGGGAAAGCAACATGGATGACTATGAACTAACCAAGAATTTACGTAAAGAACAAACTAAGGTATAACCAATTTAATTTGAGAACAAAGAAAGGTATAGCTCATTTGAGAATACATGCATGAATTCTTATCTACATCTTCCATATAATGTTCTTTTGTTATGAGGATGTATAGGAGTAAAATAAAGATACAACTATCAAATCTCGAAGAGAAAAGTGGGGATGATGATAAAAGCATTTTGATTTAAATTTTGCACATAAAATTATCCCATCTCCAAATACCTGTCAAATTCTTTGTTAAATCAATTACTTTACAACTGACATTAAATTGGGTTATGTGAACTTTTTTTGATGAGTCCATATCAATTATTTATTGTCAGTTTTATTGTCTTTTTCAGCTACGATTAATGCAGCAAGAGCTTTGTATAGAAGAAGTGGTCAAAGACACAAGTCTAAAGGTAACATGATTTTTAAATATACATGTAAATACCGAAACAAACTTACATTTAAGGGCAAACTCACCAATTTAATCATTGTAAAAAACAAATTTTAGGAAATGTGATAAAATGCAACACATAGGGAAATTATTTTGTAATGCTTAAGTTTGCAAATAAATTCAAAAAACATAATTTGAACTTTGTCAGTCGGTCTTTTCTTTGATGTTAAAATCCATGTCCCTTTCTCTCTATTAATAACCGGGAGAAAAATTTTCATTCATCTTTCAAAAAGATAATATTGAGCAATAACCAAAATTTGTGAAATATTTTTATTGCTTAAAACCATAAACAGTATAGCGTATTAAAATGTTCACTTTTCTTTCATTCTATCTATACTCAATCACATTTTCTTTTGAAGGCTTTCCAAGAGAGATGCAGACAGTATTACAAACCTCCGCTATCACCACCAGTCTGACAAAGTAGTGTTTATATAGTCAACTCTAAATGAACAATGTATGCTAAAAGTGTAATTCAGGGGGCCATGCACAAAGGGAAATAACTCATTTTGTTTGCCATTGTGGAATGCAGTTACACCGAGGAAATTATGTTTTAATCTAACAGCAAATTTTATAGAATTAAACTGTGTGTTGAATGATTGACAGATGAAATATACTGAAACATGAGATATAATATAGATGGAATTTGTTTATTTCTGACCAATAAATATGTTTTATTAGTTGGGTTGTTTGTATAGACTGTATGTTGAATGATTGTTTACACAAATGCAGTGTACTGAGCTGATATGTTTTTTGCTTATTTCATAAAAGTAGCTGAACTTCTTCATATAATGGAATTATAATGGAAGTATCTAAACTGTTTTGCATATTATTTGTAGCAAAACGTACTCAAGTAATTTTATGGATAGTTTGAAACAGCTATGAAAAGATGGAGTACATGTACTTGTAGTTGAAGCAATATGTAAGTGATCACATACATGTATTTTCTATGTGCATAAAATTACATATCGGGACTCAGTCAGGGGTGTATCTAAGATTTACCCTGGGGTTTCATTTCATACACTAGAAGTCCAAAGGATGCATGGAATACAACTTGGAGTTAATCCCTGAACATTATTGATTGGAACTGTATATCAAATTTCTTTCCAATGTAACCCATTGCAACAGGGGACCAAGGTTTATTCAATCTCATCTAAAGGATCAGTCTCCACTTTCAAGTTTCGACAGTGGGATTTGAACCAGCGACATAAGGATCAAATTCTTACTCTGCGACTCTAGAGCAGAGGCTCTTTCCACCACGTGCCATGCAATTGACCATTTTGCTAGTAAATCAGTACTGGAAAAAAGTATGGAAATATTATTTTTTTGTCAACAAACTGCAACATACTGGAATATCAATATTATTGCACAGCCCTTGTCATGACCTTGACTCAAGGCCATTTGATCAAGTTCAAGGTTGAAGTCCTGTCCTAAACGAATCTTTGAAAACACTAGAAGCTAATACGTAATTATATAAATATTGCATATAACCTGAGGGTATATAGTGACCTTGACCCAAGATCATTTGAACAGTTTAAGGCCACTGGCAGAAAAAAAGTGCTTTTTATCTTTCTGGTCAGTTCTCTCAATTGTACTGTAATTAGAAGTTGATATTTGATACAATTATTGCTTATGAAATAAGGTTGTGTCATTATGTGATGCAAGGTGGTTTTGCAAAGTTCAAGGATGCTGGCAGAAAAAGTGCTAAATACATGTCTTGTTTATATAATTATATCTAATGGAAAACCTACTAAATTCTTCTTTTCCACACTAGTATTTTGTATGTCCTAAAGAAATGTCTTGACCTTGACCAACAGTCATTAATGCAATTCCAAGGTCAATACCAATTTTAGCTCACCTGAGCTGAAAGCTCAAGTGAGTTTTTCTGATCACCTGTTGTCCATCCATCTGTTGAGCTGCCTGTCCCTCTGTAAACCTTTTGCATTTTCAACCAACTTCTTCTCAAGAACCACTGGGCCAATTTCAACCTTTCACACACCTGTGAACCCAGTGACACATTGAAACATACAGAAAAATTCTTTAAAACATCTGGGCCAGAAAAGCTGAAACTTATGTGAAAGTTTCCTGGGGGTAATGCAGATTCTAAATTGTTTGATAGGATGGGGTCAAGCTGTTTGGGGGGAAACTAGTGAAGAACAGCAGGACCAACATTATACTCAGGTGAGTGTTGTGGCCCATGGGCCTCTTATTAAAATATTATCTCAGATGGAAAAGTATTGGAATTCAAAAGATTTTTATTATTATAGTGAGCTGGATGCATACAGTGATACACCTACAAAAGTTGGTTGAGAACTACAATTAAAAAAAATATGATCGAGCTCAATATCCTTCACCACATTTAAATCGCGTTCGTGATTCCAAAACCGATTTCTTTATAACCAATGAAAATGAGCGTTACTTGTCCTGATGGAAGAAACATAACACATGTGCAAGATTATGAAGAAAATCTAAACTTGGAAAGAAAATGACAGATTTCAAAGAAGAACAAAACAATGAAATAGAGGCTTTGGAGTCGATTTATCCAGAAGAAATCGAGGGTAACAAAATTAACGTTTACAGTTTTGTTTCATGTCAAATCAAGCATGAGTTTGTCCTGACAGGTGTATGTTTATTTCTATTCCTCATATTTTTAAACGTATAGATTCTGTAAATCTTAGAATAAGCTGCAGACCTCTAAAAACAGATGATATCACCATAGTTAATATACGTCCAATAAATTTCATGAAGTAAATCAACACCCTTTGGGTGTGAAACAAATAAATTTAAATGAACATCATAAGACATTCCCTCTATTGCTGTAATAATTATATTGTTTTGAAATGATAATTCCTGGTTAAAGTTTAGAATTTATTCAAGTCCAAAAGTACAAAATCAAAATTTACATTTTTACACAAAAATTCCTAAAGTGAGAGTGAATTACAAACAAACATCTTTGACAACTCCTCCCACTTTTCATAAATGAACCAATGAAAGAAGTTAAAAGACAGTAGTAAAGTTTGGGGAAAGCTAAATGACATTCATTTATAACACAGGAAACAATTTGAGTAAGCATAACAAATTCAAAGAAACACCAGTCTAAGATCTGACCATAAACCTGATAACAATTATGAGCTAATAGCATCGATACCGTGGGATGGAGAGAGAGATGTCAAGTTTGAGAAATTACAAACACGTGCAGCAGTGCTCTTTCTGAAGATCAAATAAAACAATTAATTTTCAATTACAAATTCCCAGTACATCAATTATAATATTTAAACATTACCTAAATCATAAGTACATCTAAGAAACTAACAAATTGTCTTTATCAGAAATATGAATTTATACGCATGTATATAACATCCGCCCCCTAAAAAAAATTGGCATACAATTTTAAACATTAAACGATAAAGACAATCATAAAATACGCTCACAAAAGAAATGTTATACAAAATGATAATGAAGAAAATATAATACATGTACAAGAAGAAAAATACATTCTAGTAATGAAATCAGAAGTGAATAAAATGTTTTCGAAGCATGTATACCTTGGTACCATCAAACATTCTCACATTCATACAAACATAATATTCAAATCAGAGTGCATCATAAGAAATCATAACTTGCGCACACAATGCATAGTAAAAAAAAAAATGTAAACAACAAATTCTCGAATATGGTTGTTCAAAGTATAACCTGTATGGAATAACACATCCTCGGTTAGAATAAATCATACCACTTTCAAATAAAGATAAAACAATATTCAATTACGTAATTGCATAAGGTATAACCCTGACGGAATAAAACATCCTTGGTTAGAAAAAGCAATTAATATATCAAACCAACACAAAATTTTTATGTTACACGATGTATGCCACAAATACTGCATACGAATACTATGTAGAATTGCATAAGGTATAACCCTGTCGGAATAAAATTCCTTGGTTAGAAAAGCAATTACAATATCAAACCAACACAAAATTTTCATATCACACGATGTTTGCCACAAATATCGCATACTAGTAATTCCTACCTTCTCAATTTCTACCGTTACATCCGTAATTACATAAACATACATATGAAACACTGTAAATTAATACAGATCAAAAATATAAAACAAAGTTAAACACATATATTTACAAAAAGGGATCATGCCTCATATCAAGCATGTTATCGCTTTATGCAACACTCATAACATTGTTACCGTACTGGCGCTTACTTTCAAGCTGTACTTTATAACAAAGTTGCAAAAGAAACGATATATGACATCATGATAAAAAATAAAAAACGTATCAACTCCAGGCATCATTACGCCTCAGAAGTATACAAACTATCTCTCACAACAGCTACTTCACATTGGTAGCTCAAATTGTGGATACCCATTAGTAATTAGCACTACGAGAAAAGTGTACTAAGCTCTTGCATTTAAATAAATAGAGCAAAATCACACTCGTACCAATGCATAATTATAATGATATTAAAAACAAAACACACCAATAGCACATCGATATCGCAAATCCTAATAAACAACAACAAAAACTACTTTCATGCAATTTATATTTTTGAAAAGCACTAAAATAACAACTTGTCGCATGCATTAACATATGTACATCTCAGAATCATTGCTTTTAAAAAAAAAAACTTTATCAGTCAATAAAGAGCGATGGTACAGCTTCACTGACTTTGGCATGGCGTGAATTTATGCAACAAACCTCTGCAGGTACGGCGAGCTCTTGACTCCCTGTGGCTCGACCTTCGGTATTAGAGGAATTAAGTCCTGTAGGTAACAAACGATTTCCAAACATCGGGTTTCTTATAATTAGGTTTAGAAAATGGTTGGATGGATAGTCATTTTGACAACGGGGAAGCGAGCTGTCAATATTGGTACAATTTGCACGATCCTGCGGTAAATCCTCATCAAGGGAACGAAACGAAAAGTGCGAGGATACGGGGACATGCATATCGACCACGATTCAGCACAGAAATTCAGCAAATGGTTGGAAATTTTTAAACAGGGAAAGCTTCGAACGGGGCCTGGTCCATTTACGTCATCCTTTTGGGATCCTCATCCACGGAACGAAAGGAAAAATACGTGGATAGTGGGACATACATGTGTGCACATGACTGAGCACATAAGTTTAGAAAATGCGGGTTGTAGCGCTTCTGTAAAACTGAATTTTACAATTTTCCCATGAATCTCGGCACCACTATAAATTGGTAAAATCTGAATATCGAATAATCCAATGAAGATGATGAACGATGTTGAGTTGGTTTATTTTCAAAGTTTGTGACATTTTCAGTAATATTTGAATAAAGTGAACACAATCCAAAATGTTCAAAGTTTTTATAACAGGATACCGTCGTCCAAAAATTTAGATTCTCCACCATGTAATAATTATATTGTTTTGAAATGATATTCCTGGTTAAAGTTTAGAATTTATTCAAGTCCAAAAGTACAAAATAAAAATTTACATTTCTACACAAAAATTACTAAAGTGAGAGTGAATTACAAACAAACTCAACGTCTCATCTTTGACAACTCCTCCCACATTTCATAAATGAACCAATGAAACAAGTTAAAAGACAGTAGTAAAGTTTGGGGAAAGCTCAATGACATTCATTTATAACACAGGAAACAATTTGAGTAAGCATAACAAATTCAAAGAAACACCAGTCTAAGATCTGACCATAAACCTGATAACAATTATGAGCTAATAGCATCGATACCGTGGGATGGAGAGAGAGATGTCAAGTTTGAGAAATTACAAACACGTGCAGCAGTGCTCTTTCTGAAGATCAAATAAAACAATTAATTTTCAATTACAAATTCCCAGTACATCAATTATAATATTTAAACATTACCTAAATCATAAGTACATCTAAGAAACTAACAAATTGTCTTTATCAGAAATATGAATTTATACGCATGTATATAACATTGCTCCCCTCCCCCAACTTCTTCATGATCCTTGCAGCACTTTTAATCTGTCCATATTACAGAACCTTTAACTTTCTACTACACTGGCCGCAAAGGTAAAATCCAATTTTACATATTTCCCAAATCACAACATTGTCCCTAAGTAAGAATTTTATTGACTTTTTCTTTACAGTCTCAATTTATTGTCAGTAAATTTATTGTTTATTGTCTATTTACAGTGCTGAAGACAGAACCGTACCATGTATTTACCATCAAAATTTCTTCACAAGAGTCTGATCAATCCACAGAGGACGTGGAGCCTGGTAAAAACAGTTATCATTTACATATTATATTTGTGATAAAACTCTCATTATTATCAGGTCTTTAACCAGTCCAAACATTAACAATAATAAAATTTTAGGTTGAGGTTGCTTGAGTTGAGATTGAAATTAACTAGATAATATTCTATAAACAGGATAAACAGCATGGCAAGATAAAAAAAGTATTGTAGATCCTACTCTAACATATTGTCCTGATTTAGATTATATATAATCAAGATACATATTTCTGAATTCTGTATGATTATTAATTTTTCATTGATTTCTGTACATGAAGTTTCTGCAGTTTATAAAATGTTTCAAGCTAAGATTAGAAAGAATCAGACATGTATAAGAGCAACTTTCCTCCTAGACTATTTTGAGTCTAATCCTATAAAACAAATTTTTCATCAGAGGCTTCTGATTTTTTTAATGATTAAATAACTAAAAAAAATGTTTCTTTTATAGCTTCCTGTGAAATACAGTTTTCTTATGTGGAAAAGTATCCTGAGGAACCCCTGGTGTTTGAAATTACAGACAGTGAAAACCTGGAGGATGACACATTAGAGGAAATAACCAGTCTAATCAATGAACAGGTATATCAGCAGTGTAGTCTTGAGTATAACAGCAGATTAGTCTTATCAATGAATAGATATATCAGCAGTGTAGTCTTATCAATGAACAGGTATATCAGCAGAGTAGTCTTATCAATGAACAGGTATATCAACAGGATAGTCTTATCAATGAACAGGTATATCAGCAGAGTAGTCTTATCAGTGAACAGGTATATCAACAGGATAGTCTTATCAATGAACAGGTATATCAGCAGGGTAGTCTTATCAATGAACAGGTATATCAACAGGGTAGTCTTATCAATGAACAGGTATATTATTAACAGGATAGTCATATCAATGAACAGGTATATCAACAGGATAGTCTTATCAATGAACAGGTATATCAACAGGGTAGTCTTATCAATGAACAGGTATATCAGCAGGATAGTCATCAATGAACAGGTATATCAGCAGGATAGTCTTATCAATGAACAGGTATATTAACAGGGTAGTCCTATCAATGAACAGGTATATCAACAGGATAGTCTTATCAATTAACAGGTATATCAACAGGGTAGTCTAAGGCCAAAATAAAATTATTGTTTGTTTGGAATTGCCTCCACCTCATTAAAATGCTCCCTCCTGAAAAAAATTTATTGACCAAAAGTAACAAGATATTTTTTTTTATTTTAATCAATTCTTGACAAAACACTTATATGTAATGACAGATCTTTGCAAAATCAGGATTCTTTTTTGATGGTAGATACTTTTTTTTTCAAAAATCAGAAAATGTTGTTTTTTGGGGGGTTTTATTGTTTATTGAGATTTTTTTTTTTTAAATCTTCAATTTTTAAAAAAAAATAATTTCCCTCCCTTCCTCCTGTGGCTGAAACCCTCCAGGTGGCAATTCCAAATAAACAATTTTTTTAGGGTGGCCTTATCAAATAACAGTTATAACACCAGGGTAGTCTTATTGATGAACAGGTATATCAGCAAGGTTGTTTTATCAATAATTCAAGATTCCTATAAAGTTTATCAAAAGGGATAGTTTTTCGTAAATAAGTACTGATATATATCAATGATGTTTTATATTTAAACAGATACATCACACCTATAAATTCTTTTGTATATTGTTTTTTTTTTAAACTGGTATACTACATGTATTGGATAATTTAATCAATGAACAGGTACAGTATGTATAGAAATTATTAATTATTTTCATTATGTAAACTATTTTAGATAGAGGAGAATCTGGGAATGGTAACAGTGTTTACAATTGTATCAGCGGTGCAGGAAAAGCTGACCACCTATGTAGAGGACTCTAAGAGGAGGAAAGAGGAGGAGGCAGAGAGGAAACAGAGGGAAATAGAGGAAGCAGAGCAGGTATATAGTGTTACTATTTATAGCTGAAGAAATGGGTCAGATTTAAAGTGTTACTATTTATAACTAAGGAGTTGAATCAGGTATTGTGTGTTTTCATTTATAACTGAAGAAATGGCTGTATTCCACAGATAGTTCTGATTGTAATATTTGATGTTAACTAATAGCCAACATCGGAACTATTATTTCGTCTTTAATTCCGGCGAGGTTTTAATATTTAGTGTGTCTAACGAGATCTCGTTTTTGGCGTGAACTTGGGCAACATTTTGTAAACAAGGACGCGCTGCTGAACTTGTCATGTCTTATGATGTCAAATAACCGCGTCTTACCTGCAAATAACCATGGTAAATTACCATTGTATTGCCGTGGGATGTAACAATGACTCCAGGAAATCTAACAGATATAAATACCCGCATATGGTAGATAAAAATGTAAATGTTGTCAATTTTTATGTATTGCCTTCCGCAACTAAAAATCCAAAACTTCGGCGCCAGTGGATAAATGCGGTAAAAAATTTCAAACCTAGTAACACAGATCATTGGCACGCAGTATGCTCCAGACATTTTATAGATGGAAGACCCACTGACACTAACCCAATACCAACTTTATTTGAATATAATAACTACATGCATGACCAGGCCCAGGGTCAAGGAAAGAGGAAAACATTGACTTCAAAATACAACAGTACTTCATCTTCCCAGGGGTTTGTATTTAAAGTTCTCGAATTTTTTACATAAAAATGTGATACCCATATTTCTATTATCAGATTATTAGGCCAAAAAATGAAAAATATAGTTGTTTCCTGTTCCTTGACCAAAACAGAAATAGGGTAGGTAGGTAGGGAAAAAATTATTTTCAAAGCTCAATGGATGGAGAATATGTATCATGTAATAACAAGAAAACAACATGTTTACACTTTACAGAGCAGGTTTATTAATAAAGATTTATAAAATAAAGGTATCCTGTGCACTTTAGATGTATTAGCTCAGTTAATATTGTTGGATGACTTTAGTATTTCAGGAAAATAGCCCCCCCCCCCCCCCCCCCCAAATGAATATTTAAAAAAAATTAGGGTTGCAGGGTAAAATGTTAGGGTAGCTCGGGTGACAGGAAACAAGAGTACATAATAATTTTTTGAGTAAAGAATATATTCAGTATAATTTGCATGAATAATCAATATCTAAATTTCATTCAGAAACACACACACACAAATATCTTTTTATATAGCATGAATTATGTTGTAATAAAAACTGTTAATCAAACATTTTACATGCAGAAATGAAAGTCACTCTGAAGGAAAAAAACAAAGGACTTCACAGACTAGTGTATTTGTCCAGCCAGTACCAGTGGCAGAGTTATATCAAGGCATACAGCATGAAATCATTATTCCTGACAAGGAAGGAGGAAAAGGTTGGAAGACACAGTTTTCTTAAAAATAACTAAAAACATAACACTTCTTTGATTTTGTTTAAAAAGTTTGTCATATCTATGTTTTTTTTCTATTATCAGAAATGTCTGGATTAAAGAAACTTGCATAATCAATAATAACAAATATACCCAAAAAGATCATAACCGGTATATTTTCATATGCATAAAAATATGCTTTTGTATATGTATTTTTCTTTCACAGTTCCAATTACAACTGATACACCATATTCCCTATCTGGTATCATGCAACATGACCACCCATATGTAGCGAGTCCTGTGTCAGGTTCATCTCATCTTAGTGACACAGATATATGCTGATACCCAAATAACAAATTTGGAACATGAAAATAGGCATCTGAAGGTATTTTTACAGCAGAGCAATTGTTTTTTTTAATTATTTCATGTTATGTCACATAAATACATGTACAGGGTGTTTGAGCAAATATGTATTCTCTATTGTTTTTAATGTTTGTTTAAAAAAAATTTAATGTGTGCTTAACTTTGTAGGTTCATTGTGAACAACTCGAGGAGAGGATAGTGGCTTTTCAAGAGGAAAACACACAACTGAAAAATCAGTTAAATGAAAGTGAAAGACAAAGAAAGGAAGTTGAATCCAAACTTCAAAACAAAGACAAACTTTTCCGAGAGATTTTAATAGATAAACTAACGAAGTGTGACAACCATGTAAGACTTTTTCTTGGGCTGCCTTCTCTTCTGTTTTTAAAGGGTTTGTTCGACATATTGAATGGCGCAGCTTCCAGTATGAAGTATTGGACTCGTAAATCATCAAGTCATGAAAAAAAGTGGCACTCAGAAAATTTAAGGAGACCTGGGAAACAAAGAAAACTGCAGTTATTTGAAGAATTCATTTTGGCACTACTTCGTCTGCGTTTAGGCCTGAACACCATGTTCTGTTCAGTTTTGTTTGGCGTGTCTCAGTCCACAGTTTCTTCCATATTCACCACATGGATGTGTTTCCTAGATCAGCAATTAAAACCATTACTTAAGTGGCCATCAAGGCAAAAAATAAAAAAGCATATGCCTCTTTATTCCGTTTAAAATACCCAAACACAAGAGTCATAATTGATGCAACAGAGATCTTTGTTCAACGTCCGAGGAATCCTTCAGCTCAGAGCAGAACTTGGTCAAATTACAAAAACAAGAACACTTTCAAAGCACTGGTTGGGATTTCACCAAATGGGGCCTTTACATTCATATCTGAATTATGGTCTGGAAACATTTCAGATCGCAGCATTACTCTGAGAAGTGGATTTCTAGATCTTATTCAGCGAGGTGATCATGTTATGGCAGATCGCGGATTTCTAATTAATGACCTCTCCTTCTTCAAAGGGGAGCCCAGCTGAATATGCCACCATTTTGTCGGCCATGTCAGTATGGAAAAGGCAAATACTTGACATCTAAACAAATTAAGGAGTCGAAAAACATTGCCTCATTGCGCATTCATGTGGAGCGTGCAATTCAGAGACTGAAAAGTTACAAATTCTTTGATGGTATTATGTACATAAAATCATTGTCTGTTGCAAATCAAGCCTTACAAGTAGCGGGTATTTTTTGTAATTTTATGGCTCCCCTTGTCAGCAAAGTTCAGAAAAAATAAGATTTTCTAACTAAGTAAATAAAATAGCATGATTATTGTTTGCAAGTGCTATAACATTACAAGTGCAACAACTTAAATTTTGTTGCAAAAGTTCATTCTTTCACATTATTTATTTGATATTTATATAGTTCACTGTTTTGAATGAAGGAAGTTTTATGTTAGTGTTATCTGTTATGTACTGTTATATTGACATATCTATTATTACAGATTTACTGATTAAAAGTTTATATGAAGGACAAATCTTTTTTATCCGTGTTCCGTAATGCTGCACTAAGTCTGCAATATTCAAAGCATGTAGGAAAAAAAATGACTGATTTGGATATGTTTCGAACAATTTCTTTAATTTTTGAAATATAAATTGCATAATAATAAATTCAGTTGATGATGATTTTTGGAAATATAAATGTCTTATAAAACTTGACAATTTTTTCTTTCATACATTCCCATATTTGTCCATTGAAGAACACTCTTTCAGAAAAAATTCCTGAGTGTGTGTACAAAATAAAATCACAATAGGTACGTTTTGTAACAGCCATTTGACACATCATTTGACAATAATATGGTGAGTTACTGTTTTTCCTTAAAACAGGAAATCCATTTCTTAGTTCAAAATTTTTTAAATCACATGCTGCTGCCTCCTTTGGATTTTTATCTTTATACTTGTATGGACATTTAATTTCAGAACCCTGGTAAACAACAATCACACTCTAGTAAACCATCTGGTGAGGCACCAATGAAAGGAAGCTCATCATCGATTATCAGGCCTGCACTGGAATATCTTAGATTAGTGTGAATTTTCCCATTTAACTCCAAATACATATCTCTAGCTTTTGCTTCATATTTTCTACCATGTACAAGTGCAGGAATACAATTAGATTCTGAAGTAGCATATTTTTTACAAAGAATTTGTGTAACAAGACTACCATTTTCATGTCCACTGAAATGCAGGCAGTTAAACACAGATGATGCAATGCGACCTGCTCTTTGATGATGCCATACATCTGATGAGTTTTGACCAACTGTACATTTTGAAATTTTGACTGCAAGATTTCTGTCAAAATAAACTCTAAGACCATCAACAAATTCTTCAAAGGAAGCATTTGGATTCATCACATAAAAATTTTGAGCAAATTCAGTCACATTCTCACACACACTTTCTTCAAATTCATACTCAGAATCAGAACTATCAGATAGGGTATATGCTGCACATGCAGCCAATTTTTCTGCTTTTAAAAGTTTGTATATATCTTTTTCAGTTCGATTGTTTAATTGTTCATTAGTAACAGGTGTGTATTCTTCATCACATGCCATGTTCTGAGGTTGGTTGTTTGGTTGCTGTCTATATTCAAGGTCAGTAATTTTTATATATTTGTTGACCTCACAGGATTTGTCCACTTAGCCTTTTTATCAGTGACACCAATCTCTGTTATCATTCAGTCCTAGGCAAAATTGTTGAAGTCCAAACAGCAAAGCAGCAATATGCTTACATGTACCATCACCACTACAAAAAAATTATGGTACTGCTATTTATATTATGAAGTCAAAATTTGGCATCTTTATTCATGCTTTGATACCTTCTATCGTTTAAAAAAAATACCATTTATACATGCAGAATTTTAATTTTGCGAATCGTTGAATGCTTTAAAAAATATATTATACTTTTTAAAAAATCATTACAGCTTTTTTGTGGAGAACAGTTAGTTATTTCCGCAATCTGATAATTTTTTCTTTTAAAAACATTGGATAGAAAATTCTGATCTGTATAAATATAAAATGCTTATTATAAGAAAAACACTGATATCATGTCACAACCTAGAATTATAATTTCAATCCAATGTTTTCTCAAACGTCCGCGACGAATATATTGTATAATAGATCTAGTACATACGCAACACATGTGCACTCTCCAGAGACAATTGTTCCATTCTCTTGTACCAACAGCCACATTTTGTAGGGCTCATTTTCATTCCTCTGGAGTGGATGAACCTCTGATATAGCATAGATTAGAGTCGAGTTTAGACATGGCCACGTTACTAATGTGACCATTTGAATGCAAGCGGTAGCTGTTGTCGGATTTGTAATTTTTCAGTCTTTCATTTGTCCACAGGCAACTGGTTTTTAAATAATACTGAATATCATACGCCTCAATGGACGGTATTTTATCTAAACAATCATCCCATTTAATATTTGGGGAATTGGGATGTGGATATGTTACGCCATGGACAGTCCTACGTTTCAGTCGATCTGCAGAATCTTGTGCTAAATATTTTGGCTGCAAATTTTGTCTACACGCTTAGCTAAGTCTAATAACTCATGTTTTCTGTAGCCCGATACCCTTATACCACGATCTGTCAAAAATTTCTTTAAATCGGGCAAAGATTTTTGCACAAGAAATGTGTGTTCTCTGCCATTAGATTAGCTACCGATTTGTTTACAAAAGTTGCCCAAGTTACGCGTCGTTTTTGTGACTTCTTTTTTAAAAGAGTTCCACAATTTTGGAGTTCCGATATTCCGTATTGAAATACTTAAATGTTTCAGAAACGATTTGAAGGAACAAAAGTCACAGTGGAGACATTTTTAGCCTGGAAGGCAAAATTTGATGCAGAAATGGCTGAACTGAAGAAAGAAAAAATTCAAAAAGAGAAAACAAAGGGATTAACAGGTATTTATTGTGGAATATTTTTGCACCCTACATACAAGATAAATTATGTAAACATGCAACATAATTATGTAGACATATTTATGTCATCATGCAGGTTAATTATGTTGAAGTTACCAATCTTAGAAATCAAAGAAAATATAATTTAAATGTTGGTAAATTTATTCACTAGCGCCTGTATCTGACATTGTAGATCCAAGATACAACCTAATTATTTAGACATGAGACTTATTTTGTTAACATGCAACTTATTTATGTCAACATGCGACCTATTTACTTCAACATGCAACTTATTTATGTAGACATGCAAGATATTTATGTCAATATGAGGGTTAATTATTTAGACATGCAACTTATTTATGTTAACATGCATTATTATTATGTCAACATGCTACTTATATGTATCAACATTTGATTTATTTATTTCAACATGCAAGCTACATTTGTACATACAAGATATTGATGCCAACATGCAAGATAATAAGTTGCTTATCAATAAACATATCTTGTTAACATAATTATCTTGCATGTTGACATAAATAAGATATAAATTATGTTGACATAAATAAGACGCATGTTGACATACTGTAAACCAATATTTATTCCCGTGCGAGAAATTTTCCCGAGGTTTGCGAGACTTCCTTGAATAAATAATTGGCTGTGAACTAGTTTACCCCTAATAAATTTGGAAATAAAGTTGTCACAAATAAAAGTATGTGTTGACATAAATAAGTTGCATGTCTACATAATTATCTAGCATATTGACATAAATAAGTTGCATGTCTACATAATTATCTAGCATATTGACATAAATAAGTTGCATGCCTACATAATTATGTTGCATCTACCATCTCAGACTAGTAATAAATTTACCAACATTTAAATATTTTCTTTTAAGATTGGTAACTTGCATCTCAACATAATTAACTTGCATGTTGACATAAAAATGTTGCATGTCTGCATAATCTATGTTGCATGCTAACATTATTTATCTTGCATGTAGGAATATGCCACCATAGGTATTTAAAACAAGTTTGAAAAATTATATCTTTCAGATTATGAATATTTAAAAGGCCAATTTCTTTCAAATTTGAATAAAAGTCATATGCTGATTTTATAATAATTTTATAATTTGATAAGTGGAGGTGATTGTACTTCTTGATACAGTGCATAAACACAACTCTCTTTTTTTTTTTATTAAATACAGGAAAAGAAATGTTCCTTAGAGATTCCTCCATGATAGATTCAGACTTGCAGCTTCTAGAGTCAGGTTTGTGTACAATGTTCATTTTCAATCATTTTGGGTGCAACACATTATGACAACTGAATTTTATATAATTTCATTTTTTTATTTAATTTCCTTTTAGAAAAGATATATTCACTATTGTTTCCGTATTTGCAATTTACATAGATAAAAGTTTATCCAACGATATAAAAGAAAAACATGTATACTCAACTTCCAGTTTAAATATATTATGAAATAAAGATATCATGAAATACATTAATTATATCATGTAATACACATTTCTTCGAATATTAATTCATTTATTATCTTAAACAGAGGAGGATGGAGTAGAAGTGGATGAATCACTCTTCCAGGACATGGATGACCTTGACCTTGAAGATGACCTTGAAGAAGCAGGAGATTGATGATAATTTATAACTTAGTCTATTAAATTTGTAAATATTTATTAGCCTATCTCATTATTCATTACTGATATTAATACAGTTTTCATTCAGATTTATGCTAATTACTGTAAATTCCTATTACGTGTGGATGCTAATTAATAAATTAATTTATGACAATTATTTCAGAAAGGACTTTGCACATATAAATTATTTATATAAATTAATATGACAATTGTTTCAGAAAGGACTACATGTATAATATAAGATTTTATCTGCTCTGTTGTGAAAGAAGTAATTGCAAACAAAGGCAGAATGTATTCTTTTTCAAATTGTTGTAATAGGAATATTTAAATGAAAATCTTCAAAGCTGGATGGAATATGCCTGTGGTTGCATGAATAATAACTAAAGAAAGAATAATTCAATATTTACTTGCAAGATTTGTTTTTAAAATGCTTGCACTAAAAATCCAGAGAAAAGACTTTTTCTTGAAATGATGACAGAATTAGATTTATCTGTCCTTTGTAACCAGACTCTGTCACCACTGTTAATCCGCAGCGTAACGGAGACTGATCCAAAAACCTCATGGTCACTTCCTGTCAAAGTTAGGTAGGTCTGGGGTACACCATTTAGAGAGATGTAGCCTTCAAATCTATCTCTCTGAATGTGGATAGTGGTTTGAAAGTTGTACACCCCTGTCACAGGGGCTTGGAATATTCCTGAAGTGGAAGAATACCCACTGCCAAGGTTAAGATCTTCCATCTGAAAGGAGACAATGGTTCCACTTTGTGAAGGGGTATCTGAAGTAACTCTGGCCAGGAAAGCAATAGGGGAAGGAGATACTGAAAATGTAAAAAAAATTACTTCATATGAAAATAATCTTTTTCTCAAAATTTAAACATGTTAAAAAAAAGTTAAAATTGAAATGATGAAAACACAGAATCTCGAAAATATTCCAATGGAAGTTTGAAGCATTGCTTTTGCTTTATTGGCTCTCAAATGATACGGGATATTGAGATAGCAAGAGTATTTAAACTTCAGGGAAATAAAACTTTTTGTACACTGGTGCAAAACCTCATTACTGGCGCAACACACTTGCCAACTTATCTTTCGCATGTGCAATGAACAGTGAATACATAAACTTGAGGAAACTGTATGTGTATTTGGTATTTAGAATTTATAAGTTCAACTTGTTACTAGTGTATCTAAATATATAGTTTACGTTTATTAGGTAAACTATTTATACACACTAGTAATAAGTTGAAATTGCTACAGCCTAATTTGGTTTTCGTTTTTAAAATTGATTTTAAAATTCAGACAAATCAAAAGCAAACACAAGCTTGCATGAATTTAGTTTTGAATAAATGTTATGCTCACTATTTGTAGTTTATGAAAAAAAAATGAAGATATTGTTTGAAAAAAATCTGAATGTTTGCGTCTACCAGTGATTCTTCAGTACATGTACTCACCGTGATCTCTATTATCGTTGATAACGCCAGACAAGTGATCAAGGCTCTGCCTGATGTTAACATTTTCAGAATCCATTCTCTTGGTGATGGTCTGCAGGGAAGTCGCCATGTTGGTCTGAAGGAGAGAGTTCCCATTGACAGTGTGTTCTAACGAAGTATACGTAGCTTTATTGGCGGCGACGTCGCTGACCAGCGCCTGAATTTGTCTTTCTAACGTCGTGACTTTGTTCTCCAAAGCCTGTCTTTTTAGGATTTCTCGTGCCAGCAGGTTGTTTAAAACGGTTTTATCGGAGGAATCGGTCGTTGGGTTCTGTGAACTGTTACTGCCAAGCGTTTCCATGAAGGTTTTGCCAAAAAGTCCAAAAACGACAATTAAAACCAAGGAAAATTTTAGTTGCATAATTTTTAAAGTGATTTTTGTGATGGCCAAACAAAAAGATAAGTCAGTACTGATCCATGATGACTTAAGATGTTTAGTCAGGTTTTATGCAGGTGGTTAAAGATGATAAGTTCTTGCGTTCGTGACATTGTTATAGATAAAGAGACACCAACTTTATGCTGTATCCCCAAAGAGAGAAAATGATAAGAAACTTGATTGAACTTTTTGAAGAAAAAGATATGTAAAATTTTTATGAAATGGGAAGTTAATGTCTGGTATTTCAGGGTTTGTTTTTTTTACCCAACTTTGATTTAATTCAATTTTATTTACTGCATGAAGTCTTAATTTATAGTCTCTGGATTTTACATTATATTTTAGTCATTTTTAAGAAGGGGGTCATATTTTTATCAGACACAATCTTTCTGCGGACGCCAGTACAGTGCTGCAATTCACAGGCATCTAACGTGTGATGATGTTGCATCTACCCCACCCCATCCTTCTGAGAATTGCATGGGCTGTGATCTGCTTGTGTTGTTTACTGATTTGTAAACGGCAATGGCTTTCTTAAGAAATATATACATGTATAGGAGAGATACAAAGTGACGCTGACCAATTAGTTATGTGAACGTGGTTTAAAATCATAAGCCAATTTCAGCTCATCTACAACAAGCATTTTGAGAGTATTTGCTTAGATGATATTACCTCACGTATCAGATGGATTCCATCAAAAATCATCAAAGTGGAAGGAATTGCAAACTTGATCTACGACTCATTAAAACACAATCACCCACAAAGGAGAAAAAAAAAAAACAGGCTGGACAGTATGGCTGGAAATGTGACGGGTAGATAGATCGACGGAGATTAAAACTATATACTCGCTTCATTTCACATTTAGAATTCTAATAAATAATGTTATAAATTGGAACCCATTCCAGTCAAGGGTTTGATAATTTTATGACAGACAGACCGTTTAGGGATAATTGAATACTTTTTATTTGGTACAAATATATTTACCCATGGTAAGAGCAGGTGATTTGTCATTGATTTACTGTTGAATTTTTATCAACATAGGGAATTGTTTTCGCGAAGATTTCTTTTTCAATTTGATGAAATTCAAATTAAGTAAGATTTCCATTGTTTGTACTTTTCTAGCTATATGTAATTCTCTCTGAATTAGCTGCTGTTATCGAAGGAAGTGCCTGAATGCCTTAATTAAATCTCATTTCTAATGATAAATGGATACGGTGATGGAGAAGAAATTTGCTAGATGTCAGGATAAGACGAGGAGCAGACACAGACTCAGATCACCAATTGATTACAGCTTCTATGAGGAGCGAGCATTCAAGAACGGCCATACAGCACTACAAATTAAACACCCATTTTCACTGAAACTAAAAGAAAAGAGAGAAGCTAATTATTGCAATAAACAACAAGGTTAATGCACTATCTGTGTCTGGAACAAGCAACCATAGAAGATCCTTGGACATCTGAAAAATGCATGCATTGAAATCTTGGAAGAGGAAACAAGGGAATACAATAAGTAGATGACATAAAAAAGTTATACAAAAGAAAGGGCTCAAGAAAAGAACCAACCATTCCAAGGGTACTAATCAATTTCAAGGAGAAACAGAGAACAAAATATAAGCAAGCGAATAGACAATCCAAAGAGTGTGCTAGGAAGGACAAGGAACAATTCGTAGATGACAAGACTGGAGAGGAGAAAGAGAGCAGTGAGACAGAACAACATGAAAAAGCTATACGAAATAACCAAATATAACTGTTGGGAAGGAATCGAACAAAGTAAATTAATCGCTTGCGATGTAGGACAAAGAAGTAGATGAAAAAAGCACTTTAAATAATTTCTAAATCGAGCACCACCACACATTCTTGCAAACAGACAACCAAAGGAAAAGGACTTCACATCAATGCAGAACCGTCTCCCGCGTTGCGCAGTGGTTAGAGCGTCTGCTCTAGAGTTGCGAAGTAAGGGGTTGATCTTTACGTCGCGGGTTCGAATCCCATTGTGGGATGAGACCGGTCCTTCGGATGAGACCTTATAAGCCCAGGTACGAAAAAGATCCCTCACTGCTCAATGGCCCTGAGTGGCGAGCATAGGACAAAACTTGCAGCTCTCCACCGGCAAGTGATGGCGTCTCCATATGAGTGATAAATTCTCGAGGTTGACGTTAAACAATATACAATCAATCAATCAATGCAAAACCACCATTTCAAATGGAATTCACTAAGATTTTTATTCGCCTGTGTAGTGCAATGGTTTGAGCATCTCTGAAGTCGCTGAGTAAAGAGCTCATCCTTACGTTGCGGCTTTAAATCCACTGCGAGTAGTGGAGACCGGTCTCTAGGATAAGATGATAAAAACTGAAGTTCCGCATCGCAGTAGGTGTTGACACAAGAAGATCCCCTACTGCTCAATGACTTTGAGTGGCAAGTATATTGGTATGTAAAATATTGCAGTTCTCACCCGAAAGTAATGGCGTCGGCATATGAGTGAAAAAATATCGATAAGGACGTTAAACAACAATGGAACAAACAAACAAATGTTATAAAGACATTAATAATGGAATAAAGATGGTTTAGAATGAATCCTTCAAAAAGCACCGAAAACTATTCCGACAAAGTCTACAGAGACGATCAACACTTCTGCAGACGATAGGAAGAGTAAAAGAACCCAATGCTTTGAAAACAAGAAACATTAAACTACCCAAGAAAGGGGACCTGTCACACAGTGTAAATTGATCACAGATCTTTCTAATGTGGAAACAAGAGTAAGGGAGGGCTGCATTCTCTCACCAAACATATTCCTGGTATTTATTGACTTTATGATGACGGAAGAGCAGTATGGTGACTGTAATCCAGTGGACATTTACCAAACAGCTCTCAAACAGACCTGGATTTTGCAGATGACATTGATCTGCTATATCCCAAAAACATCCACTTGCTCAGGAGAAAATATCATGATTGGCACCAGAGCTCAAAAGACTAACCTTAGATAAACATCAAAGAGACAGACACGATGAGAATCAATAACAAACAGCTAGGTTGTTTCAATCCAGTAACTAGAAAATGGGGAGAAAGAAACTGCCAGATTCACTTATCAAGGGAGGTTTGTCAGCAAGGACGAGGATGCAGATGAAGACGTCAAATGGAGAATTTAAAGGCAGAGTTCAGACAAATTTGGAATTCAAAAAGTACTTTTCATCAACAGCAATACTAGGATTTTTAAAACAAATGTCAAAGCAGTTATTTCATATGGTTCTAAGATCTGAAAAGCTACCAAAAGATAACAAACTCCTGTCTTTCATTGGTAAATGACTCCAGCATATCCTTAACAGCAGATGACCTAGGCAAGCATGGGGGAATATCCATGAAAACGGAGGCAAAAGAGGCAGGACCCGAGTAAAGTAAAGTAAGGTTAGGCCCAAAACAGAAACTACTGTGCGGCGCGGTTGCGACCCTGTGCTCCCTAATGGGATGAAATTTATGGAGATAACGAACAGTGTTCAAGTTCAAAAGTCAATAACACAGTACAAATCAGGAGCAGAGCAAACATGGACCTCCAAAACATCAGAGGTGGAACCAGGTGGCGTGAAGGAGTGAGCATCCCCTGCCAACCGGTCATACCCGCCGTGTGCTTTTTGTCTCTATCGAGAAATAACGGAAAAATCCTTCTACAATTCAGGGTGTAAATAACGGCCTAACAATTTTTATGAAAAACGTCAATCGGCATTTGACCAATAGTACATTGTATTTGCTGAAAAGGTCATTGTATCGACCATAGAACTTTAGAAATGATTACACTAAACGAGACTGCTTATATTCTTATTTCATCACCTTGTTTGTCAACAATTCACAATAGTTTTGGAAATTGTACATATAAAAAAAAAAAGGTATATCAATGAAATAACAAGCTATTCTCGTTGTTATTGTTTTACGTATCGAATCAAAAATCCATTTTATCGAGATTTTTCTATTAATTTTTTTTATGATCTCCGTATACAAAATTCTATCAAAGTTGTGAATTTGAAATAAAGGTATATTGCTGTATTATTTTCGTTCTTTTTATGGATTAACAAAGGGAAATTGACAATTGCAAATCTGTTTAAGTCATCACGTTATATACCATTGTAGAGAAAATATCTTATTTGTAAAATATTTCTTGTTTTATTAATTTTTAGTTTTAATATATGTTTTCTTTTTATACACAATGTAAAATATTCAAATATGAAACAGATTTGATAAGGTATATTGCTGCACAAGTGGTATTGAAGTCTTTTATCTCAAGTAAAATATCACTATGAAACAGATTTGATACATGTATATCGCATCGGAATGAGTTTGGAAATAATCATTGCTAATTGACAATACATCGTCGATATATCTTAATGTCGAGTTGAGGGCCACAGCAGGTGTTTTCTTCTTTTCACGTATATTGTGCTTGTGAATACAAAAATAAATCTGCTAATAACGGGACACAATAGGTACCCATGGGAATTCCAGTATATTGTTGGAAAACCTGATCTCCGAGAAAAACGTAGATATTGTCAACAGGAAACTCAAGCTTCTTTTTAATGTCAACTTCATAGTACTAATGTGTATAATCAGAATGTTGTTAACAAAATAATTTTGCAAATGACCAATGACAAGGCAAGTAATTTTACAAGTTCCATTTTTATTGAAAAAGCAGCTGTCAATGATATCAAAAAGTCTGGATTTTAATTTATCTTGGGGAATAGTTGATTATTTACAGAAAGTTTAATAACTTCGTTTAAGATAAGCATTTCGTAATGATTATGATCATTATAATGACCCTGTAAGCAGATATAGCATACCCTTGGTTATTATTTCGGCTGGTTGTTTTATAATTAATATAAGCTTTGTTGTTTTTATTAATTTTGAATACACAATGTATCTTTAGTCAATTCACAGGGCTAATGGCGGGTGTGACCGTCAAAATGGGATGCTTATATATGCTCTCCCTAGGCACCTGGCCAGAAAACCATGAACTGAGAACAGA